GCTAACTCTGAGAGACGAAGCAGTCCAAGTAACTTCAAAACAGTGCTGATTTATTCAATGAACACAGGTAAAAATTAACATTACACGCTCAGGTATCTTGCACCTCCAACATACAAGCAGGCAGCTGAAAGATGAAAGACCCCGAACCACAACAGGCCTATACATTATATCACTTCGGGCTAACCCCATATGCAACCATATGCAACCTGCTGTAACTCATAAGAATGCCAAAGCATTCTAACAGCCTGAGCTAGACACCTTGTCTACTCTAAACATTTCTAATACATCAAGTATCTAACCAATATCTATCTGACTAAAAATACCTAACACCAGTGCAGTTCAGAGTTGATTTGAGGTATTATTATTAGTATTTAAGTCTACTAATGGCCTCGCTCCACCATACCTGTCTGACCTGCTGTCCATTCGCACTCTGCTTAGGGCTCTACGCTCCTCAGAGCATGTGTCCTTGGTTGTCCCGCGGACAAGATATAAAAAATGGGATGATCGTTTGTTTGCCGTGTATGGCCCTAGGCTCTGGAACTCCTTACTGCTGGAGTTTGCTCTTGGTTTTATTGTTTATGTAGTGTTGTAGTGCAAGAGTTCTTATTGTTCCCATTCTTGATCCCATGAGACTGCAGTGGCTGTGAAGGGATGGATTTGAATGGAGCTGAGAAGGAATGTAGAGGTTTGAGGAATTGCCAGAGTTCAAACGGTTATGAGGCTGAGAATTGTTTCGAGCCCTATGTCCCCAAAACCCACTGGAAGTGGCGCTGGTGATGGAGTTAATGCCAGGAGGAGGGTAATGGATACTGAGCCAGAGGAGATGATCACGGCAGACTAGGGGAAAGTCATCTAGAAGGTGGACGAGGTCTTGAATCCCATAATCATTCTACAGAATGTGGCATGAGTCCTTGGTGAAGGTGTCAAATGGCTTTGTGCTGCTGTATAATCAAACTGAGACTGACTGCGAAATAGAATAAATGATGGTAAGGTACTCCAAATAGGTGCCAAAAATCTGGATGAAGAGGCAAAGACCTTGAAAGAAGCCGGCTATGGCCACCTTAGAGAGCTAGGTGCACCGTGCAGTGAGCTGTGTGCAGTCAATCAGAAGCTGGAAGATACCATCTTAGATGAAGGTGGGGTGAGGAAAGACAAAGTGAATTGGTATCTTCCAGCTCCTGATTGACTAAACACACCTGATCCAGGTAATCAACAGTGGGTACGGCAGCGGCCCTTGAGCACTGGGAAAGCCCAATCTAGGCATAGATACTGGTATTTCTAATTCCCAGAACAAAGTAGGCCCACCTCTGATATTAAAGTACTCAGAGGTTTGTCTTGGGAAGCCTGAAGTAAAGGGGAAGAAAATATAATGAGAACAGTGGGAATCCATAGTTTGCCACAGCTATACTAAAAGTATTAGGTATCTACTCATGCATGTTGCTACTTGTAATGTCACATAATTGTTGCTTTTAAGAAATAGAATTGTTTTTATTATAATTTGCATTTAAATGTTTTATTGATATATGTATTTTAATGTTTTATCCATCTGTGAGCATTGTGTTAAGCATTTTGAATTGCCTTTGCATATGAAAATATGCTATATAAATAAACTTGCCTTGCCACTGTTCTTGTTTTGTTTGTGTTATGGAAATATTACAACAATATAAGATCTGTCTTTTGTGGTATTTAATTATAAAACTTTCATGAAAGGTCTCATCTCTCCAGGCAAAGATTAAAATAGAACAACCACACTCTCTATTTACAGTATAATCTTGCTATCACAGTATATAGACATAATGTCCTTATGTCAAGAATACTGCACCCTGTACCCCCTCTATCATACTCATAGCCAGACAGACAGCAACATTGAACACACAGGTCAACACTAAGACGTAGACTCGCTTCTCTCTGCTGTAGGAGTTTTAATGAATATCAGACATGAAAAGCATCTTTCAATTATTATTATACTTATACTTTAATAGAATTTCCTCCACAGATTGCAAGCACTTTCTAAAGTTTTGAAGCTAATGTGAGCCTTCAGCAGAGATCTTCCAAAGTGACAGCATTTTTAGTACAAAGTCGCTCATTGGATTTCTCTGGATAGTATTTCCTTTTGAATGGAAGCAGAGAGATCTAACACAGAGAGATTTTTTTTTCTACTAAAAACACAAAGTTAGGACAATATCCACTAACAAACTAAGGTTTGTGAGGTTATGTTTAGATTAAGGTTAGTGTGTGTGTGTGTGTGTGTGTGTGTGTGTGTGTGTAATGGAGACCAGAACCCAAAACCCACCTTGACCACAGTGAGCAGGCCCTCGTTAGAGGTGGGGTCAGTAGGGATGGAGAAACGTCCGGTGGGGTCTCCGGCAATGATGCGGTACACAGCACTCCAGGCTGGAGTGTGAGGCTGGTCCTTGTCTGTCACAGTCAGGTTAGTAACGATCACATTCACCCTGTTCTCATGAACCTCTCCGAAGAACTGACACAGAGAGACACGAATTACAAAAGTAATTGAAATGGTACAAAGTTAAAATGAAAACTGCCAGAGGTAGAAAAAAGAAGTATTTAAAAATGTTTTGTAAAGTTAATGTAAAACAGTCCTTTTTCAGGTGTCATGTAATAAAAGTTAACTTCAATCTTCTCTACAGCAGTGGAAGCAAATAAAGCCCTGAAAAATGATGCAAGCAATTCTTACAGGTGTCCCACTTCTGCAGCAGTGCTATCTATCTGAATAATATTTGATTCAAGTTGTAGAAAGAACATCACATTTGCATATGGCTGTTGAATTGAATCTTTTGACCAGCAGTACAAACACTGTTCATTTTTGTCCAAACTGTTCAGCTTTACCGACCTTGTTAATAAACATATTATTTCATTCACGTTTCACTTTTCGTAGTTTCAAAGAACAATGCAACGTCCCTGTTGGCTGTTTTAGAACCAATAGATTTCCTCTGTGCATGTGTGGACCTACTGTGTCTGTGGTGAATTCAGGTGGGTTGTCGTTGACATCAGTGATCCTGATGACAGTGGTGGCAGTGTTGGACAGGCCATAAGTGGGGTTTCCCTCCATATCTGTAGCCTGAATGATCAGGGTGTACTGGGTGACTTTCTGGAAACAGGCAGAGAACAACAAGCTGAATTGTTGGACCCCCAATGATTTTTTAATCTTCTTCAGACAAACTGAGCATCCCACCATCTACAATATTTGGACAGATGTAAATATTCATTAAACAATAGTTTCATGTACAAAACATACAAACTAAGACCCAAGTTGAGTCTTACAGTTCATTTATGCCCTTGGAAGCAGCAGTGTGACAAACAAAAACCTCTTAGTATGCTGACTGTGTCTTTATACTAGCCATACGATCCACACACACAGACCTATATTCAGTTCACATGAAGGAAAATAACACACAGATAAAGATATTGACATAGTGAGTGGACTATTATATAAAAAACCCAACTCATGTTAAATCAGAATTGTCTTACAGTACAAGGACTAGTGGGAACACATACATGAACACATACACCAAACTGGCAAGTTACCAGTTGTGTGTATAAGAATGTATTACATGTAGTCGCAGCAGGTAATCTACTCATGGATAGTACACACCTGTGGCTAATTATAGAGTAGAGCAGGACAAACATGCAACAGTGTTGCTACATTAGGCGTTGTTAGACCCCCTTTTACTGGGGCACGTATCCTAGTATTGATCTGTTGTGCCCCAATAGATTAATTTAGATTGGTAATAATGGGGAATAAATTATTTGTACTAATCCTGAATGTCAAAGCAAAATAAAAGCTGAGGTGCAGTGTTTTACAGTTTACAGATGTTTACTGTGAAGTAAATTAGAGCTCTGTTCTGTACATCAATGCATAGGATCAATTGGACTACTCTTGAAACGCTATTTATCAGAGGATTACATGAAATAAAATGAATGCCAAGAATGTTGTATAATACATCACATATAGGCGCCAACGCTGGACTGTTCATTCGGAATTTAATGAATATAACACAACATTTGATGCTCTTGTCACACAGTCCAAATGATGTTTGTTTCATGCACATTTTATGAGGACGTGAGTGTGCCCACCAAGTCCTTCTGCACATACAACAAGAAGAAGCTCAGATAAGCTCAGGCAGCTTAGTCATGCCAAAGAGGAGGCCTACAGGAGTGGGGACAGGATCCTGTACCGGCAGGCCAGGAACACATTAATAATTTTTGTACTGAGATCCTGCACTACTGCCCCTCCAAAGGATCGCCAATATCCCATCCTTGTGCTGTTCATACAGATCGAGCTCAGGGAGGTATAATCGCGAGCCAGGCTGTGAATTCAGACAGCAGGCCAGCATTGCACACCAGAGGCAAGACATGACATTGCTCTGCGTCGACTGTGGCATAAATTATGAGCCGGTAGTCTAAAAACCAAAACATCAATGACAGGAGAGATGAGAATGTAGCTTTGTTGGCTCTTCGAGCATTTTTTTCATTTCATGAAAAACTGGTGAACCTGATTTGAGTAATGTGGGGCATGTGCCACAGTAGAGCTTTATGTCTACATTTTGAATAACAGTGTTTAACACTGTGAAGATGTGTTGTTTTTTTTTCTAAACTTGCACAGCAAACCTTAGAAGAGTAGACGACTTGTTTGAGTACAATTTGATTAACAAATCCTTATAAACACATTACACTGGCAGGCAAACAGCACGTCCTCAGAACAGATAGAACATTCTGTGGGATCTACTGATGTACAAATATTCTGGAAAAAAAGCACCAAGCTGTCTTTACACTCCAGGCTCGACACACATTAACAAGCTGAGAAGCAGCTGTTCCATATGGGTTTAAAGGATGAGCCTTACAAAATGCCCACTCAAATGTACACACACACCTCCCGATCGAGGCCCGCTGCCACAGTGATGATATCACCAGTCTTGTTGTTAATGGTGAACATGTTGGAGGAAGGGCTCTGGGGATTCTGGGAGAGGATCTTGTATCGCAGCATCCCATTAGCAGTTTTTGGATCATCCTTGTCCACTGCTGTCACTGTCATCACAAATGATCCTGCACAGCAAGGCAACACAGATATGTCAGTGAAGAAGGCTTAAGGTTAGAAGTGCCTTTCTATTACTTTACATTATGGGGACCGAAACCTGTTAACACACACACATTGTGGGGACTCAGCCATCCTTCAGGATATCACTGAATTTTAGGGTGGCAACATGGTTTAAGGTTAGGGTGAGGTCAAGTGTTGGGGTCAGGGTTAGGGTCTAGGTTTAGGCAAGTAGTGGATATGGTTAAGGTTAGGATAAGTCTACAAGAAATGAATGTAAGTCAATGTAAAGTCCCCACAAAGAATGAAAACACAGCATGTGTGCACATTTGTGTGTGTGTGTGTGTTTGTGGGGGGGTAATACCAGGTTTGGATCCCTCGGGTACAGAGCCGTTAAAAATGGTGTGTGTGAACTCTGGTCTGTTGTCGTTCTGGTCGATCACATTGATGACAATGTCAATTGGGTTCTCCACTTGATTCCCATTCAGGTCCACAGCATGGGCACGCAACTGTACACACAGACACACATGTAAAACCATTTCTGACACAAATGCAGAGTACTCATTTATTATTCCTTGATTGCATATACAGCTCACAGTGCTTCAGACTAATACCAACTCCATGAGTTTGGCGGTAGACTCGGGGTTGTCAGATCTCAGGAGCTAAACAAGCAGAGGCCAAACAAGCCCTTTCCAGACATGGAATATATCACATTGCTGGCTTCATCAATTTGTTAAAGCTATGGCAGTCTATCATTCAGATGTAGGTCACTTTTACATTCCACACAGCAGCACTCTGACACATAACAGAGGGAGTGATTTTACATGTGCGACATTTGCCATCCTGCAGGTTTGTAAGTAAAAACTACACAATGGAAAATATTGTAATCAGATAGACTTTAAAACCAGCTCAAATATGAAATACAGTATCAAAATCTACAGTATCAAAATCATTAAACTCATTGGAAAAGAGCTATTTTTCCAGAGCAATGTGAACATTTCTAAGAACAAACCAACAACAGACCTTTTTAAGTTTTTATATAACTGCAATATCCATAATGTTGATATGAAAATCAAAAAAATAGTTTATGTGTATAAGCATCTTTGATGTTCCTCTTCAGAGCAGCAGGCCTAGGAGATCTATTCACTGAGCATAAAATGGTCAAAGCTACTCAACGTAGCTATTGATTGAGCTCGGACACTCAATAAGTCATTCCTTTACAGCTTATGTAGCATCTGTAAGAAGCTCTTCAACAGCCTCAAAGCCTCCCTCATGAATAAACATACTGGCCAATCCCAGCTCCTAGCTCTGACAACTACATCCAATCACATGAATATTCATCAGAAGGCTTAAATGCAAAACACCCTGCTGTGTCTCCAGATTTCTACTCCCACGTGTGAGTTGTGTGTGTGCATTCCTACAGATCAAAAGGTTAGACTGTGCTCTCTGAAGTGGACGTGAATGTATCAGTGTATAACAAACAAATACTAGTCTTTTTTTAAAAATTTCTTCTTCATCTATGTGCATGAGAGTGAATATAAGTAACATGTGACCAAAGTGATGAGGCTGACCTGGAATGAAGCAGAGCTAAATCATCTCAAAGGTACTTAGATTTATTTATTTTTTTGTAAATAGACTGCTAGTGTTAAGGCTGTGGTTAAATTACATTTTATGTGATCTCAATCCAATTTTAAATTCCTTTGCAAACCCATTTAGGTTCAGCATTTTAGTAACCAAAGTGAAGATGAGTAAATTGTAAAGATTCAACTGGGAACTGTGATTTGGCTGAAAACCGTCCATTCCACTCACACTCACAGTGTGTTTCTTATCCTCACTACAGATCATTGGCTGGCTACAGAAACATACCCACCTCTGTCCATTTGGCAACAGACTGGTCTTGTTTTCTGTCACCAGTGACTTTTAGCATTTTATCTAATTTAAAGGAATGGCCAGTGTTGGCTAAATCAGGCAGCCTCTTACGTGGATGTTTTCTAAGTTGTTTTTTGGTAATATATACAAAAGGTTTGTTCATATATATATATGCTAATCCCTGTCTTTTTTCAAACCTGGAAGTGGAATCAAAATATAACTGACTATTGGAGTCCAACATGTTAGGTATTTTTAGTCAGATAGATATTGGTCAGATACTTTATGTATTAGAAATGTTTTAGAGTAGACAGGATGTCTAGCTTAGGCTGTTAAATGTTTAGTCATTTTCATGAGTTACTGCAGAATGCTTATGGTCAAGGATAACTAGATAGAAAAGTGGATGACTGTCAGCAGACAGAATGTTTAATATTATTATTATGACATGCATAACTGTAGCCATAGCCATAATATTTTCTTATGTTTAATGTTAGGAGATGTCACTAGAGGTCGTGTTAGAATGTTTTTAGTTACACACCACGTAATCAACAGACACACACACATTGATTTTTCTTCATGTTTTGGCTACTGCCCTGGCCAGCTGCAAAACTGTCCCTGGGAGACGCTGCGGCTTGGCGTCTCCTGTTAGTATGGGATTAGCCCGAGGCGATATAATGTATAGGCCTGTTGGGTTCAGGGTCTTTCATCTTTCAGCTGCCTGCGTTGGTTGGAGGTGCAAGATACCTGAGCGTGTAATGTTAATTTTTACCTGTGTTCATTGAATAAATCAGCACTGTTTTGAAGTTACTTGGACTGCCTCGTCTCTCAGAGTTAGCATGGTAAAAAGAACCGGAATGCAACAAACAGGAATGAGTGTGTGAATATTTTGTTTTACAACAGCCAACATCTTGAACAATTGGTTAAGCACGCCATATGCAATGTGTCTGTGTCGCTGTGGTCAGAGGGGGCACACACATCTCATAAGTGTATTGGACTAACTAAACAAGACACAACATGTTACCCAGTGAGCTTTAACAGTGTTGATAAGTGTGTTTTTGAATTTTGAGAAGGACTAGCTGTTGTCCTGTGTCTTGTCCATCCTAAGCTAGGCTAATCAACTCGAGGCTAAAGCTCCGAACCTAATGCACAGACATGAACATACAAATGATCTTCTCATTTCACTCTTTGACGAAAGGCAATAAGTATAGTTCCCAAAATTTTGCAAAAGGCTGGTGACTGATCAGTATTCATCTATATTTTTCTTATAGTCAACAAGTATGAAAGGCCAAAACCAACAATGAATATTTCCTACTAACAAGCATTGTGTGTGAATCAAAGCCTGATATATCTTTGTGCTCTGTGTCACAGAGCTCCACTGTTGTCCACAAATTATTAAGACACATCACTGAGCGACACTGTTGCCTTGGGTGACATCTTCCTTCATTTTGAAAAATATGGGCTCTGTGTTTAGCTCCACAGATGGCAGGAGCCACTGACTGTGTGCAGGAGCCCAAGTGCAGTGGTTCTCTGCAACACTGTCTCATTAGCTTGTTGTGCATAAACTTTTGCCTTTGGACTAAAGTTCCTTGAAAAGTATTGTCTGGGACAGAGTCTGATCAATACAATGAGCATGATGATTTGTTTGATGCTCCAAAAGAAAGTGTCAGATGTGAACTTTGATACGTATGTCACACACCATCCTGGCAGCTCACCTGGGGCCTAGAGTGTTAGGAGACTTTCTTCAGGGTGGACAAACAAAATGACAGCATTGCACAGCATCCAAAGTGGAAAAGTGGATAATCGGAGCAGGCATGGCCCACGACCAGCCACAGAGCACTGCATTTTCTAATGCTAACTGTACTTGTCGAAAAGAGAGAAAAATAATGATTGTTTACAATAAGGACTATATTCCCAAGAATGCTCAGTGACCCCTGCCTCACAGGATCTACTCTCCCCAGAGCCAGAAGTCACCACCGTTATTAGTCTGTGGATCTGTTTCTAAACAAACACAGAGCCCATATTTTTCATAATGAAAGAACATGTCACCCAGTGAAACGGTGCGGCTCACTAATGTGTTTTAATGGCTTGTGGAAGGCAATGGAGCTCTGTGCATAGAGGAAGAAGATAACACAATACTTGTTAGTGTGAGACATTCATTGACTTTAGTTGGTTTTAGTCTTCATAGGATTTGTTGACAATAAGATAAACATAGGAAATCATCAGCCTGAGGCCGTGGACAGGCACACTTGTACCCCTGCATGAAAAAACACAGCCCTTCTTATTTGCTTAAATGGGGAAAGTGTGTTGTGCAGTGGGGACCGGCACCACAGGGGGCTCTACCAAAACAGTGCAGTGTAAAAAAAAAAGGTGGCTCTGATCAAACTTTTTCTGCAGAGCAACGTGACATTATACTGCACTGTATTTCACTGTCCTCCAATATATGAAACAAAACGCCACCAACCCAGCCCCTTGCCTTGTTTTAACAAAGGGCAAATTTCTGTGTGAATGTGGTCATGTCCTTTATGTGTAAAACTATGGCAGCACTATGCAACTTGTCACTACACCTTTGTGCCCTTACGACACTCTAAGCTTCATGTTGTATTCTGACCAACCAGTTTATTATCTGAAACTAAGCTGTGGCAACACTTGCTATACGTTACTGCAGCTCTGATTAGTTTTTCGATCAACTACAGGGCCAGAATTTATTCTGTAACCTTCCAATTGGACTTTTGTGAGTTTTTGTAATTTGTTTAAATGGGCACAGTTTTGAATTGTAGCTTGTTTATTGTCCTGTCTTTGCCATTACACTGTGAGGTTCTCAGTAACAGAGTGACTATGGTGGCGTACTCTACATAAAGTGTCTCCAAAGGTTGGGCACTGTTTAACATAATGTATTAAAATTTGTCACCAGCTCATTAACTCATCAGGGCATTCTGTACTCTGTGGAATGGACATCTCTCACAATGTGCTATCTGAATGATAAGTATATCTTTATTTACAATACAGTAGATAAACTGGCACCACGTCTTTGCAGAATCATTACACAGTGTACATCTTCCTCATGCAGTCCTGTCTGCTGACTGTCTCCAGTGTTCAGACAGAGATGGGAGAAAGTCTTTGTCTTTTCTGCCCCCACCACAAGTTTGCAAAGGGATTTTAAGTACCTCTGACAAAGTGTAAGACAATGATAAATACACTATTATGCAAGTACTTCTTTTCTTGATGATGTTTTATCTGAACACTTTTGTTGCTTTAACAATTACGGTAGAGTTTTTTATATTGTTGTATGTTCTTGTGAAAGGTTTTTTATATCATGGTAAATTCTTAGTATTGTAAATATTGCTTCCATTTGTACCCTGTTTGCACACTGCATTGTCTTTGTAACGCTTTAATGCCAGGGCGCCCCCTTTTAAAAGAGGTCATAAATCTCAAGGGACTTTTCCCTAGTTAGACAACGGTTAAATGAATAAAATAAATAAAACCACTGCAACGCTGACAACAGTGCCACAAATTTTAAACCTGCTTCCTCCTGACGTTAAATGTTGGCCATAATTTCTTCTGCCACAACGATCAGTCTGCAGTGGTAAATCAGCTGCTGAAGAGATTGTGTATATTTCCATTCTTTCCTAAATGGGAATTGATC